GTCGGGTTTGCGCACCCGCCGTTCCCGAAACGAATGTCCCGGTGTAAACCCCGCTTTTAAGTTTCCCAAATCCCCGCATTTCTGCTACCTCCAAAAGCAGTAATCCGGCCGCGAAACGGTGACAAATTCACCGCCAAGTAACCTGTCTTGTGGCCCAGGGGAGAGCTGCAGCGGGTCGCTTTACCCGTTTTGGATTATTTCAGCTACAAACCGCCTCGCTGCTTCGTTAAACGAGAAAAGCAGCAAAGCGAAACCCCGCGTAGGAACGAGAAACTCCATTTGTAAACTGCCGTCAAAATATGGCACTTTCTTATGGGATTTTACTTTCGCTTCCGAGGTGTCCCGTCGTGGTGTTTTCGTTTTTGGTGTTTTTTGTTTGGTGTTTTTTTTTTTTTTTTTTTTTTTTTTTGGTTTTGGGAATTCTCGGTGCTCTTTTTGTAGAAGGGGAGGCTGAGCTGCGATGGTTTAGTCAGACGTAGGAAGATTAACGATTATTGCAGTCTCTTCAGCTTTAGAATGTATGTATGTATATATAAATTCAGACGTATGGAGAGGTGCGTGTCTGGGTATGTGTGTATATTTATACATATTTATGGCTATTTATATATATTTATGTATACACACGCGCACACACGCATTTGATCAGCGTCTGCTTTAATCACAAACCACCCGCCAGGTAGGTGTGTTTTATACACACGGCGATGTTCTCTGTCAGTGCAGCGCTGCAGAAAACTGCTCGATGGCTTTCCCTCTTTCCGCCAGGGTGTACACGGTGCTCCCTCCTCCTGTCTCTCGGTGACACCCGGTAGATTTAGGCATTTTAAGCCACCCACTCGGTGTTTACTCACACGACGGAGGGAAGAGGACTCGGTTGTGGTGGTGGGAAGACTGCGTTGTAGCGGTGGCAGGAGAAGGGCAGAGCAAAGCCGAGCAGCCGCGTCTAGAGGCGACACGAAAGTTGAGGTTTATAACTCCGTTTCCAAAAGTTTCGGTGTAAAACTAGGCGACGGAGAGGAAAAAACACAGTTGTTTTTTTTTTTTTGGGGGGGGGGAAAGGG